CCAGAAAATTTTTGTATTTTTCTACCCCTATGACTGCAATTCCCTGCATTTTCTGAAACATATTTTTGGATATACAGCATTACATTATGCTGTAGATAGACTGAACCTGCAGTTAAGTACTTGCATAGTATGTTTATGTAGATACCACAACTTGGCAGTCACTTAGGGAGCCAGCTTGATAAACTTAGAGTTCCCGACTCCCACGAAGCGCCACCATGGTTGGCACAGAGTGAAAAAATTTTGAAAATTTTGCGTCTCTAAATCATCGGAAATGGCATTTTCAAAGTCTTCTATACGTCTTTTGTTTGGCCCTTTCATTAATTCGTTCATTATGATTTGTGAGTCTATGATCGATATCCGCGAGTCAGGATGGATTATTACGAGAAATGTTATCAAAATATCGATTACAGATATTTGATTATATGTATATATGATTTCAAATACTTCTAGTATCGAAATCAAATTGTTTTTTTTTGGTGGGGGCCAAAATTATCCCCCCCTTATAAAACACATGGTTGAGGGCCTGTTGCCCCCTGCGGTCACTAACTTGTCCAACAACACAAACTCTATAGGGTCTGGGAAATGCAATCCACTGCCTGGGAAATGTTTAAAATCTAATAAGGTATTTATTAAACATAAAAGACAGGACATAAGATTCACAAAGCAAATTTCAGTTACTAGAATATCAAACCTCCCTTCTAAATTCAATGTTTTGCTTATATTTTAGAGAAAAGGGACTTTCACTGGGGGGGCCAAAATGGTTGAGTGGGGGGGCCACCATGGGGGCTGGGGGGGCTTTGGCCCCCCCAGTTATATAGTTAAAAAATGCCCTGTTTTCAAATGCCAGAACTTGGTTTTCAAATGCTAGAACTCCCTTTTCAAATGCCAGAACTCCCTTTACAAATGCCAGAACTCCCTTTACAAATGCCAGAACTCCCTTTTCAAATGACAGAACTTGGTTTTTAAATGCCAGAACTCCCTTTTCAAATGACAGAACTTGGTTTTTAAATGGCAGAACTCCCTTTACAAATGGCAGAACTTGGCTTTCAAACGTCAGCATTCCGTTTTCAAGCTGAAAAACTACATCGGTAATTATAAGGTTGTTTTATGCTAATTTTCAAAAACATTAATTGTCGAACGTTCAAACATCAACAGCGCAGTCAATAATGCATGTAAATTCAAGTGCTATATATAAATGGCTAGCTGGTTTATAATGTTTATACCGTCGCTGTTTGTTTTCAACTCAATCTTGTCGTCATTATGTGGACTTTCTGAGTCTTTCTTGTCCGTTTCTTCAATCTCCCTTTCAACGTCCTCGTTGTCAAGTTTAAATATTGGAGTTCCTTCGGCCGTCTTCTCCTACGGAGTAAACCAAAACAAAATTGATACGTGAAATTGTCAAAAATTCTTATTATTTCTTCTTCTTATAAAAACTTAGGTAGGGTAGGTCGGTTTTAACTTTTTTTTTTAACTTTTTTTTTAAATTTTCCTAACAACCGGACGGCATTTTGTTTAGTCAGTGCTTCCACATCCAAAGATAAATTTCCCTAATATTGCCTCAAATTTCAATTTTCCACAAACTTTTTCCTCTAAGTGGAAACACTTACAAGCATGATCCAATAAAAAAGTTTAGGGTCGGGATTTCGACGTCCAAAAGCTAGGTAGGGTCGGGAAACCGGAAACCCACATATATTTTTTGGCCTAAGGGAATGCTATTGGATAAGGTTTTGGGTGACGTAATTCCGGGCGTCTGTCCTCTGATAGATCATGGCTCTCGACCAATAAAAGCGCTAGAATTCTTAACGTTATTATATATAAATGGATATAGATAATAGTACCTTATCTCGATTTTCATCAAGTATTTCATGCTCTTGTTCTCTCCTGTTTCTCTCGCGTATTTCAGCCAACGCTAGAATAGAACATAACATTTGATCAACTTAAAAACCTGTGTGTAACTTAAAAACCTATGTGTTGCAAAAAACAAGTTTGGAAAATCGTACATAAACTTCAAAAACTCATTAATAATTCATGAGGAAATCACAAAGAAAAATCATAAGCGTGTCGTATCTTTATATGTGATAGAGATTTCCCTTTATTTACATAAACTTTAACTTTGATTTTCTCGACTTACACAACGTATTTTTTGAAAATTACGTCGCCAATGAACTTACTAGATCGATCGTTTTTGAAGCAATTTAAAACATATCTGATAAAACACTGCATGCTGCTCAATTTATAAATGCTACATCGAAAACCAGTTCAGAAAATTGTACATAAACATCGATGAAACGTATAAGCATGCAAACTTTGTTAGCTAGAATCATCCATTGAATATCAAAATTTTAGGAAGGTGACATACCAGGGATGGATCCAGCATGATCTGGTAGGGGAGGGGGTGCTCTGCCAGCTCTGGTGCCGAGTTGTGTCGTTCATGTGTGCCGCCCGCCCATCAACTTGCTTCACTACTGCAAAGTCTTGCTTGACTAGTGTATTTGAATTGTAATTGTTGTTCACAGTTCGCTTATCATCATGTTATTACTCAAATTACTGTATCTCATTTTGCTTTATCGTGAAAAATAGTACCCCCTCTGGCCAGGGCTGGGGGAGGTGTTGCTAAATCCATCCCTGTGACATACCATTGACACTGTCCATGATCTTTCTGCGTTCTCTGCTCAGCCATAATTCTCTCTCTTCTTTCTCGGCCTCGATACCACCTCGTTCCCTTAACGATAACATTAGCGAGGTTCAAGTTGTGTTCGCACTGCTTGTTCCCAGTTGTTGCAACAAGTTTGGAACAAGCTGTTAACAACTTGTACCAAGTTTGATGGCATTATCAGACTTGTTACAAGGTTGTTCTAACAAGTCTGATACAGTCATGATATAACAAGAATGTTACAAGGTTGACGACACAAGGTTGTAACAATAATGTTATATCATGACTGTATCGGACTTGCTGGAACAACCTTGTAACAAGTCTGATAATATCAACAAGGTTGTTACAAGTTGTTAACAGCTTGTTCCGAACTTGTTGACAACTTGGGACAAGCAGTGCGAACACAACTTGTCAACAAGATGTGTTCGCAACAGGCTTGTAGCAAACTTGTCAACAAGTTGTAACAATGCTGTTATTTCATCAAGTTGCTACAAGGTTGTCACTCACAACTTGTTGACAAATTGCTGAATTGCAGGACGATAACAAGTTGTTGGAACAACTTGTAACAAGTCTGTTGAGCTTAACAACCTTGTAGCAAGTTGTCAACAAGCTGGGAACAAGCAGTGCGAACACATCCTGTTGAGAAGTTGTTGGAACAGCATTGCTACAAGTCTGCTGCAGGTTTGTTACAACTTGTGCGTTTTTACCTGTGTAAACATGTGAAAACGCACAAGTTGTTACAGGTCTGCAAACAAGTTGTTATAAAATCTGTTCACAAGCTGTCGACAAGTTGTGTTCGCACTGCTTGTTCCCAGTTGTTGTAACAAGTTTGGAACAAGCTGTTAACAACTTGTAACAAGCTTGATGGCATTATCATGATTTAACAAGAATGTTACAAGGTTGACGACACAAGGTTGTAACAATATTGTTATATCATGATTGTATCGGACTTGTTGGAATAACGTACCTTGTAACAAGTCTAATAATATCAACAAGGTTGTCACAAGTTGTTAACAGCTTCTTCCAAACTTGTTGACAATTTAGGACAAGAAGCAGTACGAACACAACTTGTTGACGGCTTGTTGGCAGACTTGCTACAGATGTCAGATTTTTTCGTGTGTAAAAACAATGCACAAAAACAATATACAGTAAATATATGGTTCAATACAATGTTTTTTTTAAAAATTCAACACTTACCAAGCTTCAGTACAAGCGCGTTCTTTTGGAAACACAGGCCTGTCGTCCAAATATTTTAGATTTTTCTAAAGGAAAAACATTATTATGTTGAACTTAAAAACTTCATGTGGACATGCATTGATGCATGATATAGGTTAGGATATACATACGACTTTTAAAATCATTTGTTTCCTGTAATGCTTGATCTTCTTGATAACAGGATTTCCAATCAAATTGATGACACTCTATGAAAACGATTAAGATGCAATAGACAATTGGCATGTTAGACTAATTTTTTACCTAAGCAAAAAAAGAAAATGCCCGTAAAGACTAAAGAACTTATTAAAATTAGTAAAATTGCAAAATGTGGTTACGAAATGTTATGAAGCTTGGAAAATATAGCCTTGCAAAGTTTGCAAATTGTGTATATGTTTGTATTACGTGCGGAAATTGTTATCATTTTTGAGTAGAAAATGGTAACAATTTCCGCACGTATAATAGCATTCTAGCGCGTGTTGATTTCTTGAAACGATTTAATTGATTTGTGAGCTGACGAGAAACTACTCGGAATGCTTCAATATGTAAACATGTCGAGGTTGTTATACAACCATATTTTCAAATATACTGTGCTAAAACAAGCAAATTTACTGTACTATGCTACAGCAACTGTCCAGTCACGCATACGTGATAAAAAGCAGATATATAAACTTTATAATCAAAAGATAATGTAAAACATAACAGAACGGCGAACATGCAGATTCAGCCATCTCAAATAATGGTAATGTTGGGATAGTAGCGTTGCAGATTGCAGAGGAGAGTGGGCAGTAAGGCTCCCTCATGCACCACCCCATGGAAAACCTGCACCCCTCCTTCCAGATGAAGCTGGAGTCGACCCAACTCTAAGTGACTAACGACTTACAACTTTAGCCATGGCGGAAAACACGTCAAGTATCTCAGGATCGTCCAACTGATTGTGAGACAAATCGAGGACGCTAAAAATAAGAACAGAGCAGAACACGACATCAAACAACAGCAAGAAATTCTAGGAATCGCAGCTCACAACCACAGACGTCCAGACACATTGCACAAAATGTTCAACAAACCTCAAATACTCGCATTTTCGTAGTTCGTCAACGTCCTCGACGCTCTTCAGTCTGTTATGGGCAATCTGTAGCGTGTTTAACTTTGGAAGGCACGCTTGTGTGAATAAAACAGGAAAATATTAGATTAACAAAGTTAGTCGGGATTGACCGATAATATAGACAATTCCCATTATAGACTAATTTTAAAAGTAGGCAAGGAGATAAATAAATCACCACAGCTAGAAAGAGCATACTAAAATGAGTAAAATTGCAAAGTTTGGTTGCGAAATGTTAGTGTTAAATACGGAAAATAAAGCCTTGCAAAGTTTGCAAATTTTGTATACTTTTGTATTGCGTGCGGAAATTGCTACCATTTTCGGCCCGAATGTACAAAATTTGCGAACCTTGCAAGGCTATATTTTCCGCATTTTACAACATTTCGCAACCAAACTTTGTAACTGTACTAATTTTAGTATTCTCTTTCCGGAAATATATTTTTTTTGCCGAGATGAAAAATTAGGAGTCTATAATGAGAATTGTCTATTGATATCGCCTACCGGGCCAATTTTTGTCTTATCGGTAGACAATCGGAATCGGTAGAATTATCTGCCTTTCCAATGGACCATTTGCATTATAGACTAAATTTTGATCTAGACAAAAATTTCATCACAGCTTGAAAGAGCATCACAAATAATCGCTGCGTGAGTTTTTTAGTCTGTTAGTTTGGTACTACACATGTAAAGACACACAAGTTGTTACAAGTCTGCAAACAAGTTGTTACAAATCTGTTCACAAGCTGTCGACAAGTTGTGTTCGCACTGCTTGTTCCCAGTTGTTGTAACAAGTTTGGAACAAGCTGTTAACATCTTGTAACAAGCTTGATGGCATTATCGGACTTGTTACAAGGTTGTTCTAACAAGTCTGATACAGTCGTGATATAACAAGAATGTTACAAGGTTGTTCTAACAAGTCTGATACAGTCATGATATAACAAGAATGTTACAAGGTTGTTCTAACAAGTCTGATACAATCATGATATAACAAGAATGTTACAAGGTTGTTCTAACAAGTCTGATACAATCGTGGTATAACAAGAATGTTACAAGGTTGTTCTAACAAGTCTGATACAGTCATGATATAACAAGAATGTTACAAGGTTGTTCAAACAAGTCTGATACAGTCATGATATAACAAGAATGTTCCAAGGTTGTTCTAACAAGTCTGATACAATCATGATATAACAAGCATGTTATAAGGTTGTTCAAACAAGTCTGATACAGTCATGATATAACAAGAATGTTACAAGGTTGTTCAAACAAGTCTGATACAGTCATGATATAACAAGCATGTTACAAGGTTGTTCTAACAAGTCTGATACAGTCATGATATAACAAGCATGTTACAAGGTTGTTCTAACAAGTCTGATACAGTCATGATATAACAAGCATGTTACAAGGTTGTTCTAACAAGTCTGATACAGTCATGATATAACAAGCATGTTACAAGGTTGTTCTAACAAGTCTGATACAGTCATGATATAACAAGCATGTTACAAGGTTGTTTCTAACAAGTTTGTGACAATACTGCTATATCACGACTGTATCGGACTTGTTGGAACAACCTTGTAACAGGCCTGATAATATGAACAAGGTTGTTACAAATTGTTAACAGCTTGTTCCAAACTTATTGACAACTTGGGACAAGCAGTGCGAAGACAACTTGTTGACGGCTTGTTGACAAACTTGTTACAAGATGTGAGATTTTTGCTTACCAATATTTTCAATTTTCTTTATCGAGTTATTGCTAACGTTTAGTGTGTCCAACAACGGGAGATGATCCAAATTTTCCAATTTCTCTATCAAATTTTGATGTAGATATCTAGAAGAGGAACAAAAAGCAAACTTTCGTCAGTAAAGGTACCCAATAATTTATCTTTCGAGCAAATTCTGGCGCTGCAACGGAACAGCGTCAAAAAGGAGCTTTTGCAATAGACCGTTCCCCTTTTGAGTGAAATTTTGATGTAGACAAGTCTGGACAAAAATTTCATCACAGCTTGAAAGAGCATTGATCACAAAATTAGTAATCAATTCCAAAGTTTCGTTACGAAATGTTGTAAAATGCGGACAATATAACCTTGCGAAGTTTGCCGTTTTTCAGTCATTTTGTATTACAAATGGGAAATTGATAATCAGTTTGATCATCTGATTATCAATTTCCCGTTTGTAATGCAAAATGACTGAAAAACGGCAAACTTCGCACGGCTATATTATCCGCATTTTACAACATTTCGCAACGAAACTTCGGAATATTACTAATTTTGTGATGCTCTTTCAAGCTGTGATGAAATTTTTGTCCAGGCATATCTAGATCAAAATTTCATTCATAAGGGGAAAGGTCTATTCTTAATATTAGGAAGACCCATTATGGCAAAATACCTCGCTGCACCTGTTAGCGCGTGTCCATTTCTTGAAACGATTTAATTGATTTGTGAGCTCACGAGAAAATATACTGAGAATGCTTTAGTTAAATATCATGGTTAAATATTGTGTAACCGAGCGTGAGGTCTGTACTGTGAAATATTAGATCGAGATTTTTAGTATGGACCGAGGTCTGATATTTCACAGTACAGACCGAACAAGCGAGGTCAATAATCGGTTTATTACATAGCTGAACTGAGTCTGTGACCATATGCTTTTTGCGCGAATTAAATCGGCTATCGTCAGTTTCACTGGGTAACAATATACGGTAGGCATGCACGCTCAATCAAAAACAATTTGGTTGTTTGAAATTTTTATTCGTAAATTTTAATGACACACAATTGGAAAATTAAAAAGCAAAAATGTTTTCTGTTTGCAAAGCAAAAATTTCCCGCCAGATAAACGACATCTGGGACACCGGTCCAGATACGGAAAATACGGACCACGGTCCGGATATGGCTTTTTACGGACCGCTTGTCAACCAATCAGAATAGAGAATTTTGAAAAGCCATATAATAATTTCACTTACAGACAACGTAGTTCAGTCTGGTTGTCCAATCCTTCTATCGTACGTATACCATTGCTTTCCAACCAAAGACATTTCAACCCCGTGTAGTCTTCCAAGTTCTCAATTCTACAAAATCCTGTGTTAATGAACATGGAGTTGTATATGAGATAATGCCCCTTTTCAATTTTTGGGACTGCTATTGGTACTTTTGGGAGAGATTTTGGACAGTGAAAGCAAGCATTCATTCATTCTCGGTTATTGCCATACCTTTAAAGTGTAAGTAAAGTACGTCATTGAGATAAGGTGTTCTGTAGAGTTTATGTTGTTTGCAAATGTCTAGGAGAGCCTTTCTTGTCATCCTAAAATGATGGGTAAATATAGTGTGAGGTGGTGGTGATGGTGAATCTGGTGATGATGATGCATATATCATCATATATGGCGATGATGATGTGAGATAAGGTGTTCTGTAGAGTTTATGTTGTTTGCAAATGTCTAGGAGAGCCTTTCTTGTCATCCTAAAATGATGGGTAAATATAGTGTGAGGTGGTGGTGATGGTGAATATGGTGATGATGATGCATATATCATCATATATGGCGATGATGATGATGGTAATGATGATGATGATGATGATGGTGATGATGATGATTGATGATAGTGTTGATTGATGTGTGAGGTGGTGGTGATGGTGAATCTGGTGATGATGATGCATATATCATCATATATGGCGATGATGATGATGGTGATGATGATGCGTATATCATCATATATGGCGATGATGATGATGGTAATGATGATATATGGCGATGATGATGATGGTGATGATGATGCGTATATCATCATATATGGCGATGATGATGATGGTAATGATGATGATGATGATGATGGTGATGATGATGATTGATGATAGTGTTGATTGATGATGGTGATGATGATGATGGTGTTGATTGATGATGATGATGATGATGGTGGTGTTGATTGATGATGATTGATGATGATGGTGGTGATGATGATGATGTTGATGATGATGGTGATGATGATGATGGTGTTGATTGATGATGATGATGATGATGGTGGTGTTGATGATGATGATGATGATGATGGTGGTGATGATGATGATGATGATGGTGGTGTTGATTGATGATGATGTTGATGATGATGATGGTGTTGATTGATGATGTTGATGATGATGGTGTTGATTGATGATGATGATGATGATGATGGTGGTGTTGATTGATGATGATGATGATGGTGTTGATTGATGATGATGATTGATGATGGTGTTGATTGATGATGGTGATGATGATGATGATGGTGTTGATTGATGATGATGATGATGATGATGGTGATGATGATTGATGATGATGATGATGATGATGATGGTGTTGATTGATGATGATGATGATGATGGTGTTGATTGATGATGATGATTGATGATGGTGGTGATGATGATGATGATGATGGTGTTGATTGATGATGATGATTGATGATGGTGATTGATGATGGTGATGATGATGATGATGGTGTTGATTGATGATGGTGTTGATTGATGATGGTGATGATGATGATGGTGGTGGTGGTGGTGATGATGATGATGATGGTGTTGATTGATGATGATGATGATGGTGGTGTTGATTGATGATGATGATTGATGATGGTGATTGATGATGGTGATGATGATGGTGTTGATTGATGATGATGATTGATGATGGTGATTGATGATGGTGATGATGATGATGATGGTGTTGATTGATGATGGTGTTGATTGATGATGGTGATGATGATGATGGTGGTGGTGGTGGTGATGATGATGATGATGGTGTTGATTGATGATGATGATGATGGTGGTGTTGATTGATGATGATGATTGATGATGGTGATTGATGATGGTGATGATGATGATGGTGATGATGATGGTGTTGATTGATGATGGTGATGATTGATGATGGTGTTGATTGATGATGATGATGATGATGGTGATGGTGATTGATGATGATGATGATGGTGTTGATTGATGATGATGATTGATGATGGTGATTGATGATGGTAATGATGATGATGGTGATGATGATGATGATGATGGTGATGATGATGATGGTGTTGATAATGATGATGGTGGTGGTGATGTTGATGATGGTTGTGATGATGGTTGTGATGATGGTTGTGATGATGGTTGTGATGATGGTTGTAGTGGTGATAATGATTGTGATGATGTGGTGGTGGTGATGGTAGTGGTGATAAATAAAATAAATGAGAAGCTCTAATCAAACTCGCTAGGAAATTTACAATGCTATGCGAGAACGAAACAAAAGACATTACAACAAAGGCAAGTTAGATATGGGATCGGTGATGATGGTGGTGATCAATATGATGGTGATGATGGCAGTGATATTGATGATCATGGTCGTAGTAGTGATGGTGCATGAATGGGTGTTTAGAGAACTCCATTCAGGGAAATATCAGGCTTGATCTTTCCATGAACCATATTTGCCAGCATAGATCACGCTATTCTAGCCAGTGCCTCAGCGAGATGGATAATGAATGTTCACAAATGATCTGTCTCTAGTATTCAGTACTGTCAAACAACATACAAACAGACCGGACCGACCAAAATATAAATAATACGACGTTAATAAAACGTACGGTACATACCTGGGATATTTATCCTCGTCACCTTTCAAATTCTGTTCACAAACCGTCTGCCCGCCTGTTTCTTCTGTTAACGACGGCATTTTTGTGTAAGAACGACGCCAATTTTATAAAAAATTATTTCAAACAAGCTTGTTTTAATGTTTTTGAATTTTCGCTTCTTTTGGCGTCTCGTCTTGTTGCTATGACAACAATCACAGATGTTTCCACTTTAATGGAACTTTTCGGACTTCCCGTATTTAAAAATACTTATATAAATCACGAAATAATTAAAAAAAATTAGCAGCAAATAATATTACTTTTATTTTCAACGTTTCCACTAAATATTTAAGATGTTGACTGAATATTAGTCGAAAATTTGTAATTGAAAGGGAATTGTTCGGGGTTTTGTAATACTATTTCATATTTAAGTTCATTTACAAATTTTGTTAATTTTGAAAGTGGAAGGTCTACCAGAAATATTTTATAGTAGACACCCCCCTGAAAATGGCATCAATAACTGAATCGGTATAGGACAACTACAATATTCCGGGGGGAGATTGAAATTGAACCGAAACGTAAATATTCGATATATAAAATTCTATATTGTGGCGGATTTTTATATACTAAAAAGAGCAACTGATTTGCATATGAAAAGATTATTTTTAAATATTTGTAATAGCATTTGTTGTCTCAGCTACTTTTAAGGGTTCGACGACAAATTTGTATCAAAATATTGTATGTTAACATGCAATATCAAATGATATGACATGTGATATATAATTGATACTTTCATTCTTGCAACAGTCCTTTAAGTTCGATCGGGGAAGTATTGGGTTTTATAATATATGTTATATTGAAAGTAAGTAGATTATTAATATTGATCTCTTTTATACCGTGAAAGTCGTGAAATATATTTAAAAGCTATTTGAAGGCAACTATTTTATTATTATTAATAGTCAGTTAATGCAGTACAGCTATAGATCTTCAGAAACAATTATCTTAATAAGAATTTATGATCAAGACTCGATAGAATACTACTAATCATACTGCTGAGTCAAAATTCATTGCAAAAGATATCTCAAACGTGGTGGTCCAGTGTAGGTAGTATTCTATAATAAGCTGTCGTGGTTTGTGTCTGAACTACCTCATGAAAAAGATATCTCAAACGTGGTGGTTCAGTGTAGGTAGTATTCTACAATAAACTGTCGTGGTTTGTGTCTGAACTACCTGAAAAATATATCTCAAACGTGGTGGTCCAGTGTAGACAGTATTCTACAATAAGCTGCCGTGGTTTGTGTCTGAACTACCTGAAAAAGATATCTCAAACGTGATGGTCCAGTGTAGGTAGTATTCTACAATAAGCTGTCGTGGTTTGTGTCTGAACTACCTGAAAAAGATATCTGAAACGTGATGGTCCAGTGTAGGTAGTATTCTACAATAAGCTGTCGTGGTTTGTGTCTGAACTACCTGAAAAAGATATCTCAAACGTGGTGGTCCAGTGTAGGTAGTATTCTACAATAAACTGTCGTGGTTTGTGTCTGAACTACCTGAAAAAGATATCTCAAACGTGGTGGTCCAGTGTAGATAGTATTCTACAATAAACTGTCGTGGTTTGTGTCTGAACTACCTGAAAAAGATATCTCAAACATGGTGGTCCAGTGTAGGTAGTATTCTACAATAAGCTGTCGTGGTTTGTGTCTGAACTACCTGAAAAAGATATCTCAAACATGGTGGTCCAGTGTAGATAGCATTGAAAAAAGTTCTTGACATTTTGAGCAGAAAGCTTTCATCAGGAATGTTGTAGGATTTATTTCATGAGATATGAACTATACAACAGCTTCCTTATATATTTATCTACCTTGTAGCTTTTTTAAAAGAAGACGAACAATTATGGCTCAGGGACATGAAAAGCGTAAGGCGTAAGTTAATGAACCTATAAAATTATGTCAAGAAAACAGCAGTATCTTTGATAAACAACAAATAAACAACACTCATGAAATGAACAACATCAACAACAATAGTTGCCACAATTATAGCTTAAAACCAAACATCAATGAGAAATATACTACAAGACATGTTAATTTGGCCATGTAAAAAATAATTTCATGGCTTAATTGGCATTTATAGAGATCTTAAAGTTGTCATTCTTGGTGATTCTTCAGTTGGCAAAACGACATTGATTCACAGATATATGGAGGGGGTGTTTACAAACAAAGCTTCGGTAAGTATCTCAATTCTTAAACTAAACTAACTTTATTTATACTGGATAGCTCTATCAGTTCTAAACTGTTCTTCTTGGAGATCCGGTAAGGATCATCTCTTATTGATCCAGTGTTACTACAGGAGGAAACCTAAACTAAACTGACTTTATTTATACTGGATAGCTCTATCAGTTCTAAACTGTTAGTCTAATAAGAGTCATTTTGTATTGATCCAGTGAACATTAATTACTACGGGTGGGAACATATGTTCATGACATTGTATTGTGTGATATAGTGAAGCATCTTTACCTCTTTCCTTGCTGTAGACTATTGGGGCTTCATTTATCCTAAAGCAATGGGGTCCTTATAATGTTGCCATATGGGTGAGTATATCTCAAGCAGACTGTAGGTATAGTATTCTACAATAAGCTGTCGTGGTTTGTGTCTGAACTACCTGAAAAATATATCTCAAATGTGGTGTGCTGGTGTAGGTAGTATTCTATGATAAGCTATCGTGGTTTGTGTCTGAACTACCTGAAAAAGATAAATCAAATGTGGTGGTCCAGTAGTGTAGGTAGTATTCTATGATAAACTGCCGTGATTTGTGTCTGAACTACCTGAAAAAGATATCTCAAACGTGGTGGTCCAGTGTAGGTAGTATTCTATGATAAGCTGTCTTGATTTGTGTCTGAACTACCTGAAAAAGATATCTCAAATGTGGTGGTCCAGTGTAGGTAGTATTCTATGATAAGCTGTCTTGATTTGTGTCTGAACTACCTGAAAAAGATATCTCAAACGTGGTGTGCTGGTGTAGGTAGTATTCTATGATAAGCTACCTAAAAACCATGAAGAACATTCATTGGATGTTTAGCAACAGCTTTTAACCTCCTAACAAAGGGATTAGGGAAGTTAAAAAATTCCAGTTACAACACAAACCACAGTGACTTACTATATAGTAGGGTATTATTAAATTTTTTATATTAAATAATGTTTTTCAAAGTTTATATTATAAATAACTCTTTTGATTTCTAATTTAGGACACTGCGGGTGAGGAAAAATATGCAGGACTTTCTTCATTTTACTGTCGAGGTGCTTCGGCTGCAATTTTAGCATACGACTTAACAAGACATGACTCTTTAAACATTTTAAAAGAACGACATATTCCCCTTTTACAAAGTGCTGAAGAAGACTGCCTTTGCGTTGTGGTCGGTACAAAACTAGACCTTGTTAACGATACCACTCGACAAATTTCGACAGACATGGGCAAAGCCTTAGCCAAAAGTCAAAATAAGGTTAGATATGCTGACTCGGCAAATGTGGTTCCGTATTTTGAAACAAGTTCAAAGACTGGAAAGAATGTTGAAGACGTTTTTAGCTTTATCCTAAATACATGTTTGCCATTGGAGAATGACTGTAAGGACAAAATGACAAGGAAGCTAAGTAGTGGTGGTTGTGTCGATCTACATCAACCGAAAAATTGTCACGAGAAGCGAAAATGCTGCTAGGAATGTAATATAGTGTTGTAGAGCAAATAATATTTTAGGTGATTCAATTTTATACTAATTGTAATGTGAGCTGTAAACATTTTTTATTTTTGGGCTACACCAAGATAGGGCTAGCTCATGACGAGTAAAATTTCCTTTAACAGTTTTAAAATTTTTTGTAAATTTCTTTTTTGTATTTAGCGGTGCCCCTGCCAGGGATAAACCAATCCGTAGACTTCCACGCACATAATTCAAAATTTCCTTCATACATGTATTTCCTAGTTGCCAAAATTTTCTTAAAAGGGAAAATACCTTAATTAATTAAAAAGAGAAACTAATGCTGGATTTTACTCGGTCTAACACCAGATGATTTTACTCTTCAAAAGGGAGAGTCTCAATTGGTTATTTGGTTAACTACGGTACCTTCATTGCATACAGTAGCGCCTTTCAAATGACCAGATTAGGATACAGCAATATATCTACGTCATAGGGATGCCCATTTTGTAGGCTTTGTTGCAAAAGCAAATATATAAGATTTGACCAGGCGCTGTAAATGTAATTGTAATCTAATAAAAAGCAGCTTCAAGCTAAAATGAAGAGCAAATAAAACAATAAAACTCATAAAGTTTTTATATTTTTCAACCAATACCTTTTTACAATATTTTTACTATGCCATCTATTTGCATATCAGCTTATTTTGTATAATACATACATTTTTCTCTGTAAGATGGAGTTAAATTTTATAGGTCAAACTCGGAGTAGTTTATGATAGTCTTGACAAAAACTGCCCAGATATTTTAAAACCAATGTGTGTTTAGACGTTATTGGTAACAGCTCAGCTTGACACGGCTAGTATCGCGTTCGAAGTATAATTACGGCATTGTTTTGACTTTTGATGTAACTTCAAATAAAGCTAAGACCAGATCAATTTCATTTGCTGCCTCGGTTATAATGGCACTGTCAAAATTAGTATGTAGAAAAAATTTGAAGGCTATATTTTAAAAACTGTGGCACTTTGAGCCAAGGTCTCTTCAGAAAGTCTGTAGACGTTGACGTTCTGCTTATATTTACCTATGTATATTTTCTAATAAAATGTTTTTAAAAAATAGCACCAATGCCACAGTTTTTAAGCCAAAAGCCACCAAATTTTTCTGATAAAGGTCTATAAGCTGCCATTGTTAGTGTCCAGATCGAAAACGCTTTGACATTCGAGACGGCCTGGTAGCCATCTTTCTTAGTTGATTCAGTTACAAACCAGGGCAACAATTTTAATTTGTTGCTTTGTTATAAAGAAACTTTCTCGTAGAATAATGCTTAATTAATTAATTAATAAACTTTTTCAAGTTTGTTCAATATACTATTATTCGTTCAGAACCAGAGTATTTTTCCAGAGTATTTAAATGTGTTCTTGACCTAAAATTTGTACGTCAAATTAACTTCGTCCGGCCTACGATAACCGATGCTACCTTCAGATCTTACACTACATTTCAGCATATGTTTCTCTCCTATTTCAAAATATGGGGCTCCTTGAGCCTTTGACATTCCAACAATACACCACAAAGAGTACTTCATATAACGTCTCGTCAGAGCAATTCTCTTGACGACTAAGTGTTCTTTGACATTCAGTTAGCATATTGAACTTCTTTCAATATTCGTAAGCATCGCTGAACATTCATTTTGACTGTACACGCATTTCGCTCAATGGCCAACATCCGTCAACATATCTCGATTAGTGAACTTTACCACTTTCAACTGGTAAGCATCCGGCTTCAACACATAGAAATGGTGACATTGATACCTAAGTTACCATTCTCGGCAAACAATTGCGCCATGCTTGTATCGAAAATCAGACAATCGCTGTTGGATATCGCGGACGAGATTCCCTCATGAATGCTACGGGGCGTGGCTTCCCATGCGAGTCGTCGACGGTTACCATTAAGCTCCAACCGATAGACGAAATTCTCCGACTGTTTTCGTGTGCCGATGAGTTGAACAATGGCGAAAAACTGCTGATGGCCCTCGAATTTTTCTTGTTTTTCTAAGACGAGCATAAAATGGTGCCCGAAACAGGACTGCATCATAACCCAGTCGACCGCGCCAGGGAGATTAATGTCCGTCGCTAAAAATACAATATCTTCGCCTTGAAGGGTAGTGATGGACTTGTGTGTGTGCATAAGGTGGGGCATTACAGCATCTAAAGCCCCTTGCCACTTACAAGAAGCCCCCGGACAGGGGCAGGTGTACGGTCTGAACTCGCAGGATTCTTCGTGTTCCGTCTTTTCTGAAAAAGGCAGGGAGACCCCACAACCCCCAGAGTTATATCTACAAGGAAACATTATCGTGCTGGCGACCTTCTCCATTGCCAAATTTCGTATGCTGCCAAGCGGCCCACGACATGTCGGACAACATTGTAGTTTAGGGCGACAAGTTGAACAAACCAAATGGCCGCTAGAACACTGTAGAATCGGCGGTAAGACATAGTCAAAGCAAACAGGGCATTCAAAAATACTTGTAAGGTCTACGTTGGCACTCGCGACTGCCTGAGAAGCGGACGGATTTTGTCGAATCATCTTTCTGTTAACTGAAGCGGCAGCTGATGGTCGATTCATGGACATAATTGCCTTTCTTAAACTCCACAAATACAGGCGCCGTATCGCTGTTTGTTCAGCGTTTTGCGCACGTTTTAGGACCTTGCCATTCTCGTACAGCAATCCTTGTGCTTCAGCATCTTTTCATTTGCCTTCAAACGGCTTGAAGATCCCATTAAATTTCGGTTCTGTGAACTAATATCGCACTGATGTTTTCTCTTCCAAAATATCGATCAACACTTGAACCGTGACGAAGTTGTGACGAAAGAGGAGTGGGACGGGGAAAATAACGCGCTCCTATTGGTCAATTTCTCACCACTATATTTCCTTATCTCCGCCATCTTGAATTTAAGCATTAATTCATGATTAATTTTTCAAGGAAAGGTCGTAAATATTTTGAAAAATTTGTACTTTATTTGTAGTTTTATGGCTTCAAACTAAGGAACCTGAACCCCATTGAACCAGTCTCAAATTCAGTGATACGTTTGAGCAAAAATCTGCTCAAAACAGCTCGATATTTAGATTTAAATGAAGCATTAAAACTGGGTTAAAAATTAATAATAGTGGCATATGCACATCAATTTTATTAAGCAAATTTCAATCAAATTTAAGTGGAATACTAAAACATATCCAGTAGGGGTAATAAAGTAGAATAAAAGTAATAAAAATTGCAAAATCTGTTTGCCAAAGGAACATATAATATTCAAATTTATGTATGTAGATTGTAGTATGTACCGTACTGTCTGCAGTCTGCACACAAAATCATTAAATAAAAATGTGTACTTAATTACCATTTACATGTGAAATCGATTCAAAAATTGTTACTGTAGTAACAGTTTTAAAACCCTTTCGCTTTCACTATGACATTCATATGAAGATGGTAAATAATATGAATTATTTAATAATTTGCATTACAAAACAAGTTGTATAAATATATTTCAAAGTGAATATTTCCCGCATAGTCATTTGCCCGCGAAACCCGAGGCTATATAAACATGTCGTCAAACTTTGTAAGTTGATTTTATAAAATCAGTTTGTTCTCACAACGTTAAAAACACCTAACCGTATCTATTTGAACTAACTGAAGTATATCCTTGTTTTTTTCTTTCGAAAGGAGGGCATTAAAGGCTACAAATTCACAAATTGGTCAAAGACATTCAAGTGCGAGCCTGAGCTGTACTTTGAACCTACGAACCACGACGAAATTCGCAAGGTAATTTGAGATTTTTACGTGTTTTTTTTTATTTCCTGCTGTGGAAGGTAGCGATTTAAATGGTGAACGAATTTGGAGAAGTTAAATATAATTCAAGGAATGGTTTTAGCGTTTTTGTTTAAAATTTACTAGCAAGAATGTGTATTTTCCTCGACGTGGAAAACCTCGTGCATTGTTGCGTAACAAATTAGTAACAGTACAAAACTAAAAAATGTACCAGTCAGTGTGTTATACAAATTTTTACGTTATACAACAGTATATAGAACTATTCTGAAGTTTAAAGGTTTTGAAGTGTGTATGTAGATGATAAGTTTCCCTGTTAGGGAGGTCGAGGGCATGCTCTCCTGGGAAATTCCGAAATCTGAGACCTCCCAGAGCCCTGGAAATGCAAGACGACTCTTAATCTAATATTACCTGTCATTTGTTTAATCCAACCAGAAATAGATTGAATACTTGGCTATATAAGTTAAAAATATACTGTTAACTAATCTGAAAGATTTCAGTATTCTTAGTTTATAAAAATTGCATATGTACCGGTATGGAAAATTATTGGGGGGGGAGCTAAAGCACCCCAGCCCCCCTGCTCTGAGGTCCCTGAGTTATATATAGTCTTTGTGAAATACAACGTTGAAAAGCTCGCTTTATTTTAGATTCTTCACGAAGCCGCAAAACGGAACAAAAAAGTTAAAGTCATTGGAGAGGGTTGTTCACCCTCAGATATTCAATGTACTCCAGATTATATGATCTCTTTACGAAAGTTGAACAAAGTTCTTAATGTAAGTATCTCGTGAATATTATCATCACCATCATTGCCACCACCTATATCCCACTACCATCATCACCACTGTTATCATGATGACATGATCATTAACATCATCACCATTATCATCACCATCATCATCACCATCAACACCTATCCCACTACCATCATCACCACTGTTCTTATCATTATCATCATCACCATTATCATCACCATCATTATCACCATCATTATCACCATCATTATCACCATCATCAATACCACCATCATCACCATCATCCACACCACCTATCCCCACTACCATCATCACCACTGTTATCATGATGACATGATCATCATCATCACCATTACATACATTCCAACCACTGGAGGTAAAATTTAGGGAGACTGTTCAGTGAATTGAAATCTAGTTCTTCTGGGAAAAAATAATAAAAATTAAGTCTTCCGAAATGTAGCCTGCGCGCAGACTATATAATGACATATATAGTCTGCGAATCTGTGGCATGAAGCTTGTATGGTCACGTGAATTTCCCAAGAAAAGTTGGGACGAATTGTGATTGGTTGAACTATAATTATAATGCAGAATTAATGTTAATTCATCAGACATTGCGTTCGCAACGCGCGTTGAGCTGTTCAAAATTGACCGTTTCCAGGGTCAAATGACAATGTTTATATTACAGTTGTATTTATAGAAGTGTGGCGGATAAACAAGAAAGGCCGTTGTAGAAGAAATCAATAATATTACATCTTCTGTTTGGTGAAATGGGCTTTCCGTTTTGAAAACAACGGCCTTTTTTGTTTAATCGCCACACTTCTATAAATACAACTGTAATAAACATTGTCATTTGAGTCATTTGACCTTGGAAACCGTCAATTTTGAACAGCTAACGCGCGTTGCGAACGCAATGTCCGATGAATTAACACTAATTCTGCATAATTATAGTTCAACCAATCACAATTCGTCCCAACTTTTCTTGGGAAATTCACGTGACCATACAAGCTTCATGCCACGGATTCGCAGACTATATATGTCATTATATAGTCTGCGCGCAGGCTATCCGAAATGGCGTTTCCTGCATTTTGGGACTATGTTATTATATATGATCCTATAAATTGCCATAAAGCAACTTCAAAAAAGGTCAAGACAGACTATTATGTTGCTAAAAACAGTATATTTATAATTTTTTATGATATTTCCTGAATATTCTGAAAAATCGGGAGAATTTGATAAAAATCGGGAGACCGGGAGATTGCATGAATTTTCGGGAGACTCCCGGTAAAATCGGGAGAGTTGGAATGTCTGTCAATACTATTTATATTTTGTCAGCCATGTTGTTGTCATGCGTGTTGTCTCGCGTGGTCTACGCGAATAATATTCCACCCCTTGTTCCGGCCGGGGAACATGGGGTGGAACATTGTCAAAAGGAACGCAGGCTCGCTAATTGATGACGTAAGGCGTGATATCGCAATTAATTTCATGCCCACGTTGCACGAACTAAGCTTCCTGATTGGACAGTTTGAATCTGAGGTATAATATTACGGCATAATTAATAATATAGTTGATGATTATTTGTACATGCGAAATGTTGAGCAGGGGCTGATTGTATAAAACTCTTAATCACCCTTTTAATCACTATTTCGTAGTTAAATAGTGATTAACTCTCAAATACGTGCTTCTTATTGGATGACGTTTCCACTAACTATAGTTAACTTTAATCACTTTTTTATACAACCGGCCCCAGAAGATTAATCAATCATATAAAATTTTAGACCTAACCACAGAGTAGAGACATACAGAGACGTAACTAACCGTCGTAAACACTGCGGAAGATTACGTTATCGTGTACCCACTTTTTTCAGGCGACCGGGCGAAAAATGATCAACTGCGCCTGCTCAGCAAGTGTAAAATGAACTAAACTAAACTTAGCTATGTAAATTAGTTTTTAAGCAGTGTTTATTCCAACTTGCAGACAAATAAAACTGGAAGACCAGATAATGAAGATGGAGAACAAATATCAACAGGTATTCATTTTAATATATTTTGATTATTATAATTAATGAATTTATATATAATTAATATATTTGAACAATTATGTCGATTTGTTGAGCATCACTTCTCGACACTGACTTTGATTAATACAGCTTGGACTAATCTAATCATTGTATTAAAAGCGGTACCCGTCTCCCTAGCAATTAAATGTCCCTACAGTAACTCGAATCGGGCAAACTAAATCCTTTTCAGGCTGTCAGGTACAAAAACAATGATCTTATATTTAGGACAACAACATTCCAATGACACGTGCACAGCATTGCGACAGAAAAACAGCAGTCTTCCTAGTGGGTCATACTTTATATATCCAGGAGACGTCGCTTTGTCGCCATTTCAAGTCCATTGTGACATGGAATCGAAGAATGGCATCGGAGTGATTGTGATTGGACACGATAGCGAATCAAGAACGAAAGTTGACAACTATGAAGATGCCGGATCTTACAGCAGAAAAATTCGATATAATACCACAATGCAACAGATTGTTGCCGTCATCAATCAATCCAAAATTTGCGAGCAGTTTATCATGTACGAATGCTGGAACAGTCTCCTTTTATACGATTCCGTGGGATATTGGATTTCACGGCAAGGCAAAAGAATGAATTACTGGGGTGGGGCCGCAGTGGACAGTGGGAAATGTGCCTGTGGAATGAACCGTACGTGTGTTGGGGGTGGAAACTGTAATTGTGATGCGAATGACGAACGTCTCCGGGAAGATAGCGGATTCCTGACTGACAAGAATACACTACCTGTTGCTGAACTGAGGTTCGGGGATACTGGCGGAAATAATGAGTATGGATATCACACTCTTGGCAAGTTACTCTGTTGGGGATAAATGATTATAATTAATATCATGGCATTCAGGGCGATTAGTGATTAAATGTACCCGAAAGCCGAGAGAGGTTTAGTAACTACTAAACTAAACCTCTCGAGGCTTGAGGGACATTTCATCACTAATCGACCGTAATTCCATGCTATTACTTTGTAATATCATAGTTGCCGAGAGAATAGGACGGTTTTTACTTGATTGAGTAAGTTAAAAGAATATTAAGCGGGTTTGTTGATTGTTATTATTGAACAGTTTAGTGGTGCATAGCGCCCAAAAATTGTCGGATAGTTCGAATGATACGACTGTGAGAAATGATTCTATAAATATAAGCGAAGAGGATAGTGTATTGGTAAATGCATGTATAGATTACGAAAGGAGCCAGTCACATATCGATATCGGAGGCATTTTGCAAGGAGGAACTGTTCAGACAGTGAACATTAATATTGTGAATGAATGAGTTGAAGTGATTTTGCGTTTGTGAGTTAATTGATCATGAAGGTAAAAATATGAGGTAAAATTAGAACTAATTTTACCACGGGCAAAATTAGTTCTAATTTTGCCCGAGGTAAAATTATTTCTAATTTTACTCCATGTTTTAGTAATGAGGTAAATTAGTGATTAATCGTACCTCGCGAGACAAAGGATTTCGAGGCAACTATGATATTACTGTACGAAATAAACATGAACAAGAATAGCATTATGACTTTATTATCTTTCCTAGTTTTTAAAACCACCATCATGCAACCTAACTAACTAGGCCTAACTAAACTGTTTAAATTTTACCGAAGCTTTTGCCGCTTTTTGTGTTGACAAATTTTTTAGTTCGTATAAGTATAGTAATAATATATATGCAAATGGAGAATAATATACGTTATAGAAATTAGATACCAGTATATAGGTATTATAGCATGGTCAAGGGCAAATTTGGAACAATGCCTATACGCATTGATATTGATATATGTAATAAATTCAAATTCATTTCTCTTAGATCAGTAGTTTAGGAACTTAAGAAACTCGCGTTCCTTACACGTCAGTGTATTTAGCTATTTTCTAGCTTCCTTTAAAATGTATTATAAATAAAAGGGTGTATATCTAAAATTTCATGTATAGCAGTTGAATATAGTTGATATAATCTTTATAGTAGTTGTTGCTATAGTTATTTATCATATATTTAGTGTCCCAGTATGCATTTGAAGCTGAATTGAGAGCCTGCATCGATGACTAATGAATTTGAATATCTAGGTCTCAAATCGTGACGCGAAACTCTCATTGGTCAGATGCTATAATTTATATGTTTCCGCTGAGCTCCATATATGTCAACTGCTGAAGCACTATGCATAAAAAAAAAACACACATTAACTGATCAAATTGGTCTTGGCCGTCTTATATCAAGGCACGAAATGTTTTCTTTTGAGAAAACAGTATTTAAAACATTTGAACTTTTGCTTGAATATCTTATATTTCGAAAAACAGTATAAAATGTACGGTCTAAATTTAGTTTGCACGGTCTAAATTTAGTTTGCACAAAAGTTGTAAACAACACCATATAAGGATAGACATTCCATATTTGGAAAAATGAATGTTACGGGGCAGATATTCAAATTCATTAGTCATCGATGCAGGCTCTCAATTCAGGTTGAGAGCCTGTTCGCAGGCGATACAGTCACAAGTTAAGGCAGCGTGGACTAGACCAACATTCGCCATGCATGAACCGTTAACGTTTCTCCTGACCAAAAAAGATCACTTGAATGATGTTTGTACTGTTACTGGCGAGGTTACTGGAACCAAACTAAGCTAATTCAACATTGAAATGTCATTTTGAATGTTTATGAAATCCGTGATATTAAAGAGCTTCATCAAACGCTTCACTGCGCCAGTCCGGCTCCATATATAGCTAACCATGCAGCCCCTTAGCCTAGGAACAGACCTGGAAAAAAGTGGGATCTCGGGATCCGGGATCCGGAGGAACATTTGCCTTAGCAAAAAGATTGAGGAAAATTTTGAATTTTTCACGCGTTTTTTATTAAGGGAGAATTTTAAGGAATCATATTTAGTTATCTGCCATTTGAGTCTATTTTGAGATTGCGAAGTGTTCTTCATATCCTGTTAATAGAATACGAAGATGGTTTTGTTTCCTCAGCAATTTTACAACCAATATAAATGAGGAACATTTGAAAAAGGCAAATTCAGGATCCAAGGAACATTGAACACTTTTTCCAGGTCCAGGGGCGAAACTAGCCCCTTTTAATTCGGGGGGTATCTGCCACAATAGCCCTGCCAAAACCGATGATGCCCTGCAGCCAATTTTTATTTCTGGCCACTATTTTTCCCAAAAATGTTGGCGAAAATATATAGTCCTGCTCGCGTGTTTTAAATAGTACTTAATTAAAACAATCATTAATAACTTCTTATTAACCGAACGCGAGGTCTGCACCGAGAAATATCGGACCGAGGTTTTTTTCTGTTTTTTTAAAAGACCGAGGTCCGATATATATTTCTCTGTACATACCAAGCAAGCGAGGTTAATAAAAAGTTTATTATGTATATGGCATTTATAGGCATTTATAGGCCTACTTGAAACAAACAAGAAATGCATGATTTGAAATGAGTATAGCGTGGTACACATTTGGTCGAAGAAAACAAAAAATACCAATGTATTCCTTCTTTTCCATTAAAAACCATTCGCAGATATCTTATTAATAACAAATTAAATTATAATTTTCAATTAGTTTTGCTGTTTTGTTTTAAAATGCCTGCGTTTGTTTTTACGTAATGAACCGCCGGGAAAATAATGAACCTCTGAAAGTGTTTCTCAGCCAATCACAGTCCGCCATTTCACCGGAAGTGATGCTTGCCATATAATAATAATTCATAAGCTCTTTGGCAAATCATGTGAACCGTAATATGCCACGTGAAACAGTGGCGTGCTGGGTACTATTTTTCTGGGGAGGCCAGTCGGCTGGCAACTAATATGCGCCCCTATAATATTACCCTTGATAAACGAGGGCCGAAGGCACGAGCCAAGCGCCGCAGGTGCGAGGTTCGCCTAGGGGGGTCCGGGGGCATGCCCCGCAGGAAAATTTTTGAATTTAGAGTCTCTGAAATGGCATTTCCTGGACTTTGGGGGAAGATTTGACAGAAATCTGATGGTCAAGAAACGGCATTACAACGTGTCGAAATTTGAAAATTGGTTAGAATTTAGTAGTCGCACTTAAATTGGGCAATGCTAACTACTTCCAGCAATTAATCTAATCCCAATTCTATTCTCTACTGATCTGAATACATTTACAATTTACAGCTCTTTTATACAATAACACACGAACCCCACGCATATGCATTTTAAGGCCCGTTTCATACGCCGTACTTCACATGTGCCGAATACATTAAAGACAATAGATAATGAGCTGAAATGCCTCATTATCTATTGTTTTTAATGTATTCGGCACATGTGAAGTACGGCGTATGAAACGGGCCTAAGATTTCCTTGCCTGGCTGCCAAAAGGGCGTGTTTCATCATTATCTCATTACTTACATTACTCATAATGTTTCTTGCGCAAACAACTAAATTGCGTACACAACTTTACATTATCATAACTTCAACTATCTAATTTGCGCCGCTCTCGTGATTCGTGAAGCATAATAAAGGGCATAATGTAAGGGTATAATACCAGCAAAAAAGGGCATAATTCCCGTGATCGCTTCGAAGCCTGGTCAATATTCCGGTAATGAGACATTGCGTGTGATCACTGATCATGTTTCTATATGAACGAGTGATTTCGTGTGAGTCGTTAGGTAGCAAATACGGTTAGACAAAATAGTCTGCAATTTAATATACTCACTTTGTCGCCTATGCGCTTAGTCTGTTTATAAGTCTATAAACACATCTTTCATTGGCGGAATTAGTAACTATATTTTTTCGAATGCGTTTCTTCCCACCTACTTTCAAAATTCGGCGCGAGATCGGCGCCCCCTTTTCATTTTTGCGCCCCCCAAAAATTGCCAGCTGGGGGGGCCGTGGCCCCCCGGCCCCCCCTGCCAGCACGCCACTGACGTGAAATGGCTTCATACTGAATAAAACTCATCTTCATTAGTATTCTTAATATGAAGTCCATCCTAATTAGTCCATGTCTAGAAAATAAAGTTTTTCACGAAATCATCGCGCCTTATGTCTCGTCCTGGCAAAGCGGTTTGAGCGGGATTATATCATATAAACAGCCTCTTATCCAGCAAATTGCGTATGATCCCTTGCCTTTGATCCCTTGGGGGTGATGCAGCACTTTCCTTGCGATAGTAACTTCTAGTCTTCATTAGTATTCTTAACATGAAGCCCATCCTAATTAGTATTATTTATATAAACAAGACGCCTACTCAGGCGTTAACACTGGGCTGAAATTGGCAACTTTCGTTGTAGAGTGTAATGTGTAGTAGGAGGTCTGGACCATATAAATACAACCAATAAATACATTCATGATCAGCAACTATGAACCATAATCATGGGCGTACCGGGCGGGGGGGGGGGGCGGAGGGTGCAGCATCCTCCCCCTCCAGTTTGTTGGGCAAACAAAGCCAGTCGGGCAATCTTCGCTTCACAGTCGTGCAATATTGGCTTATTATAAAAATAAATGGGACAAATTCTGTCAATTTTGTGGGAAATTCTGTCAATTTTGTGGGAAATATGCTATCTAATAGGAAAATGTTTTTTGACAACGCGGGCAAAATCCGAAAAAGTCGGGCAAATTTCTTTCCGCCCCACCCCTAATTTTTTCCTTCCCGTACGCACATGACCATATTTGACAGATTTAGATCGAGGACGCGGACGTCAAAGATGACGTGAAAATGGCGTCAAAATGGCGTGGCATATCCATACATGGGCACAACACGCCATTTTCACGTTGTCTTTGACGTCCACGTCCTCGATCTAAATCTGTCTAATATACTGACCAAGACGCCGGCTCAGGCGCACCCTCCGGCTATGGGCAACTCAATCTGACAAGCCAGGCCCACTGTAACTGATCATCAACTATCAACCGTAAATAATGATGGGTCAATAATAGCGAAGAAATTATATAGTCCTTGATTTTTAATGCCATTATACGGCTCGTTTCAGGTGCTAATGAGTTCATAGACATAGACGATTCTTCTAAAAAATATGCCAATTTGCTTCCATTTATAAGATAAACTGATCCCAACCCCAAGCCCTTCTCTAACCCCAACCAGTAAAAATCTAATAAACAATTTGAGAGTTAAAAAAGTGGGGGAGTTGGGTCTTGTTCCAAAAACAAATCGAACAGTACCACGTTTCACTTTGCCGCACGCAATGCCACCTCGCTGAATACAATCGAAAACCATACATTTTATAGTATAAATACTATATGATGAATTGGAAAGTAATTTGGTGCAAATTAATGTAATTAGGTGCAAATCTGTAATTATGCAAATGAATACAATAGCACAACGCACGTTTATGAGCCTACAACGAATATTTATACTTGTTAATTATAAAGTCAAACTGTCAAACCTTTAACTTGTCCGTGTTTCTATTCCACTATATTGTATAAATTCGCTGGGTCCAAATTTTGGGGTTTTCGAGTCGTTACACAAAGAAAAACACACTAATTCAACACGCAAGAAAGGCCAGAGTGCGACACAACGTAAAATCCATAGGAAACCGGCACAATTCTTTGAAAATTCAACGAAACTGTATGAAATATATATGAGATCGCTCAGGGAAAAGCCGCCATTTTGAAACTGAACTGAATATGTCACTGGAGCACGTTGCACCCTGAGCCGGGCCTGCGATGACCTAACGCAAACTCGATTTCTCGACTACGAAAAAAACAGAAAAAGAGGGATTCAAGACACTTGGCCTACATGCCAGTGTAATAATGAGACGGCATCTATTGATACGGCGGCTAATGAGACGGCATCTATTGTATATTCGTGTTTTAAGTCATTTAAAGCACTAGTACTTGTAGTCGTGTTTTATCATCTCTAAAATGCTCGTACTGCGCACTCGAATTTAATTAAATAATTAATGAGAGAGCCTCGTTTTTGTGTATATGTGCATTAGCTAAATTAATGTCTCTCAATTACGAAAACGAGGCTCTATAGCCAAAGTGACGTATAAAATGGTATATATTTCAATAAAGCCATGCAGTTAATTCAATCGTGCGCGTACGGTTTCGACATCCGTGTATACATATTATAAACATTCAGCTTGCGACAAATACGCAAGATGTGTTTTCCAGATCTTAGGCTGATTCTGACGCTATTCACAGTAACCACGTTCTTTATTGGTTCAAGCTGGTCTGAAACAAATGCATGTCGTCAAAAACATTTTGAGAACATCATGAGTGGTAAGTCTGAGAAAGAATTGACTTCGTATTTACATCAACAAAAGTAGTATTCGCACGCTTTTTTTCAGAAGCCATGAAAATTTTGCGTTAATTGCAGATTGTTAAGAGACCGACAAAGAAGGTTGAGAGATGATAAGAGATGGTAGTCATGCATTGTCATAGAAGACATTTAATTAAACTTTAGTGATTATCAAACTGCAGTGTTCCATTTATATTTTAACTTGAATAGAATACGTGATAGTGTTTGGAAAGCATTAAGAACAGGCGAACAGCTGACCAAACTCTCGTGCACTCAGTCGTTGACTGCGATTGATCTGGATTTTAACTTTTATATAAGAATGTCGTAATATTCGTTTGCCCCGTTCTCCCTTGTGTTCCAAAATACATTTAACATAAAAAATTAAGTCCTTCAACTGTTGCCTGTGAGGGAAACGTAAACAACGCAAGTTGCCTATATATATTAGTTTGAATTTATACTACAAGCTATAGTCAGTTTTGAATTAATCTAGAGCTCGACTATTGTTATTTTCCACAGCTTCTCCGGCCTATAGATTTGTGACCTCACATCCCACAATTAATACCTTGAGCTTGGACGCCATTTTTTTATTTAATGCCGTTTCTCTTTGTGTCCTTTGATTAATAAAGCGTCATCCCACAAGTCACAACACTATATATACTTGCCTCGTATATATAGCATTTAGGGCAAAACTACATATTAATTCATATATTTCACAGGTAAGGATGCCTTTCCATGTGAAGGGTTCCAATTCCACATAACTAAGAAATAATTATAATTTCACATGTGAAATTAATTTTCGATCACACATAAACATACTGCTATATTTCATGGCAGATGAGTAACAAAAGTACATGCATGCATGTAAAACTAAAATTTCCCATATCTAAAACTAATTCTGAATTTCACAGTTTTCCGCGCTAGGGAAGATATGAAGTCTGAAAGTATTTACTATTAATATGAGAACTTTTTTAATACAATACAATAGAATACAATGCTTACAGTATATACTGAACTCTGAAAACAGTAAGCATTTTCAAATGTGTTTTTTCGACCAAATTTTGATTATCTTCAATCAAAGAACTCTTAGTTCCGCGGACATATTATTCTAGAAGCACGCAATGTTTATAGCGCGTATATTTACATATAATTTCAACTTCTGCATGTAGGCCTGCATGTACTACTGCACAAAGACTTGGTTTGAATTAACTTCCCCAGCAATCTTTTCTCGACGAATTTGCGGAAACTAAATGATATACCGTGGCTACGTTACCGCTCTTTTACTTTTATTGACTATTGTACAATCTGCAGACAGATTTTATTTCGAACGTTTTTTAAACGAAAATGTGAAATTAGCTATATCACTTTGAGTTTTATATATAATTATTAATGACAGTTAGCTAATTGTTGAAATTGAAACTGCTGCCGTATTTGATTTCGTTTGAATTAAGCGAAGTTTTTGATTGACGTATTTATATCTTGCATTCTAAAATGATGTGTTTAGACCGATTTATGGCCGGAGAATAACGACAATTACCTCTTTTAGCTAACGTTTATAGTATACCACAGTATTTTATTGTCTTCTCAGCGCATGCATGCATGTATGCATGCATTCTTAAAAAAAACTATCTATATCACGGCATGTCAGACACATCATGCATAAAATATGTAATTATAGGAATAGCCATGCTATTGCTATTTACCTTTCAAAAGAAAATAAATTACTACAATGCCTTGGATAAACATAGCTGATCCGCAGTTCCGCCTTATTAAAATGCTGGAGAATTTAAGAGCATTTTATTTAAATTTAGACAGTGTTCAAAGACAGCCGGTTTAGTTTCTGGCTCCTCACCGTAAAATTGATGGATGAATTATTACATGAATGCGCATATTTTTATGATATATCACGAAAGCCAAAATGGCAAGCCGGAATTATTAAGACAACTATAGCTCAATCGTTCATAATTAAATTTTTAATTAAAAAATGTCAAAGCCATTTCAACTCAACTGCAGTTCGGCATCGTTTTATGTCACCCTGATAAAAGGCACAAGTATGTGATAAATATATTTATAATATACCATTTGTAAATTCTAAACGCTGACTGGCTAAGAGCCTATGTTGATATTATGATAATTATAAAAAACTCAATGTCAATACGGAAAATTTCTTTCTTTATATACAGATTCTTTGTCGGCTATATTGTGTTGATTAACTGCATATATCAAGTTATTATCAACTCGGAAATTGTTTTATATGTGTTAAATATATATCATTACAGGCCGGGAAAATACGGTAGTGACATCTTTGAAACAGACATATTTCCCATAAAGACATTTGCTTTGTTTCTTCGGCATTAATTCGTATTAGAGAAACTCTAATTCGACTGTAATGCCATTCTCGTCACCAGAGCCATTTTCACTCGGTCACTCGTTGAAAATTAGGCTCTGGGTTAGACGACTAAAGGGAGAGATCTGATTGGCTTCTCAGAGAACTGCTACTTCGCAGAAGTTAAACAGTTTTCGCTAGGCAAAATATTGCATCAACATATGTCAACGCAAATACTTCGTTTCTTCGTAATACTTCACTTTGAAAATTGTAACGGGTGCTAAAGCGTCCCAATTCAAGAGTATGCGCTTTAGAAACTACTGCAAGTTTCTTGGCCTTCCGGCGTTTCCGTGAGCTAGTCCCAGGGCCTAGGGAGGCGCGGTCGAGAGCGGGCCCTGGGGACGAGGATGCTGTAATGCACGTTATTCAAATTTATACGATTCTAATTTTTAGGTGGATCACCATTACCGACCGCAAATATAATATCAAGCCATAATGTACCATCAATGGCGCGCTGTTTTATGCGCTGTTTTCAAGAATCACGTTGTGTCGGTTTCAACTATCGATGGAGTGGAGCGAAGGTTAACGAAACAAACTGCCAACTCAGCAACAATACCAAAGGAAGAATTGGGTTAGGAAATGCAGAAGATGGTGAATGGAATTTTTATCAAGATATTGAGGTGGTAGTGTATTACGACATTTGTAATTGAAGCAGAAGATTAATCAATATGATATAAAATTTTAGACTTAACCAGAAGCAGTTGCTAAAAATGCAACTGTAGGTCCTCCGCCGCAGGAATTAAAGAACTGCAAATTTTTCGAAAAGCTATGAAAAAAAACAAATATTTTATTGTTTATCACATTTTATTGTTTATCACTGCACACTTTCGCTATATGATTGTACAAATAGATATAATTCCGGCTACAGACTTAATTTTGATCTAGGCAAGAAGAACAAATTCGATCACTACAGCTAGAAAGAGCATGTTAAAATTAGTACAATTGCAAAGTTTGGCCGCGAAATGTTGTGAAAATGTGGAAAATATAGCCCTACGAAATTTGCAAATTTTGTATTAATTTGTATTACGCGCGGGAAAATGCACCACAATTGCGCCGAAAGTGGTGCAAATTCCCGCGCGTAATACAAATTAATACAAAATTGGAAAATTTCGTACGGCTATGTTTTCCGCATTTTTACAACATTTCGCGGCCAAACTTTGCAATTTTACTAATTTTAACATGCTCTTAGCTGCTCTTTCTAGATTTGGTGATGGATTTTGTTCATCTTGCCTAGATCAAAATTTAGTCTCGCTGGAATCATCTATTGGTTATCACGCACCTTATGTAAATTAGTTTTTAAGCAGTATCTTTTAACTTGCAGACAATTAAAACAGGAAGATTAGATAATGAAAATGGAGACCAAACATCAACAGGTATTCATTTCAATATATTTTGATTATTATAACTAATTTATTTGAACAATTATGTTGATTTCAGTAGAGCGTCACTTCTCACAGCTTTGATTAATACAGCTTGGATTAACCTAATCATTGTATGTCCCCATCTCCCCAGCAAAATGTCTCTAAAGTAACTTGAGTCGGGGTCACCAGAGTACAAAAATAACGATCTTATGTTTAGGACAACAACATTCCAATGACACGTGCACAGCATTGCGACAGAAAAACAACAGTCTTCCCAGTGGGTTGTACTTTATATCTCCAGGAGACGTCGCTTTGTCGCCGTTTCAAGTCCATTGTGACATGGAATCGAAGAATGGGATAGGAGTCATCGTGATTGGACACGATAGCGAATCAAGAACGAAAGTTGACAACTATGAAGATCCCGGATCTTACAGCAGAAAAATTCGATACAATACCACAATGCAACAGATTGTTGCCGTCATCAATCAATCCAAAAATTGCGAGCAGTTTATCAAGTACGAATGCTCGAACAGTCTCCTTTTACACAGTTCATATGGATATTGGATTTCACGGCAAGACAGGAAAATGAATTACTGGGGTGGGGCCGCAGTGGACAGTGGGAAATGCGCCTGTGGAATGAACAATACGTGTGTTGGGGGCGGGAATTGTAATTGTGATGCGAATGAGGAACGTCTCCGGGAAGATAGCGGATTTCTGACTGACAAGAATACACTGCCTGTTGCTGAACTGAGGTTCGGGGATACTGGTATAACGGGGAGTGGATATGATGAGTATGGATATCACACTCTTGGAAAGTTGCTCTGTTGGGGATAAATGGCTGTATGAAATATACATGAGCAAGAATAGCATTATGACTTCATTATCTTTCCTAGTTTTTAAAACTACCATCAAACTAACTGCCAGTACCCATACTGTTTATAGGTATTAAATTTTACCGAAGCTTTTTGCCGCTTTAGTAGTGTTGATAAATTTGTAACATACGTTATTAGAATTTAGATACCAGTCTTGATAGGGTATTATAGCATGGTCAAGGGCAAATTTGGAACAATGCATGACTATATACGCATTGATATTCATTGATATTGATATGTAATAAATTTAAATTCATTTCTCTTAGATAGTTTAAAAGTATAGGTATAAGGAATGTTCTCACTGTAGGCGCGTAGGAACTAAAGCCAAGTAATAAAAAAACTTGGTTAGCGTCACCGCCCGCCTCTCGATTTCTGCCGCCTCTGAATTTTTTTTTAATGTAAATCTCTTCGTTTTACAGCATAAAACAGTTTAATATTTGCAATTTTTCTCATGCTCAGACCTTCGCGCCATATACTGATCGATAGGAGCGCATGGGCTTGGATATACAAGGTTCTTATAACAAAATGGCGGCCTTCGCAACATCAGCACAAAAAATGCCACCGATATGGTGGAAAAAACCGCCCCCATCCGCCCCCCCCCCCCATGATGATGATGGTGGTGTTGATTGATGATGATGATTGATGATGGTGATTGATGATGGTGATGATGATGGTGTTGATTGATGATGATGATTGATGATGGTGATTGATGATGGTGATGATGATGATGATGGTGTTGATTGATGATGGTGTTGATTGATGATGGTGATGATGATGATGGTGGTGGTGGTGGTGATGATGATGATGATGGTGTTGATTGATGA